AACAAAGAAAAATTGACATTGAGGAATTTTTAACATCGCTGTGATCGGTATCAAATAACAAGCTTGTCCAGTTATTGGTATAATTATACTGACGTTAACAATATGGTCTGCAGGGATAAACTCCCCTCTATGAACTAAAAATTATGTTTATCCCTGCAGACCACATTGTTAACGTCAGTATAATTATACCAATAACTGGACAAGCTTGTTATTTGATACCGATCACAGCGATGTTAAAAATTCCTCAATGTCAATTTTTCTTTGTTGGTCATCATAAACAAAGGAGATTTATTTTTGACGGAATTAGTATTGGTATGGCTACGGCAGCAGTGGGACTTGACACGGCCAATGCTATTCAGATTGAAAACATCAAATCAAAAATAAATGATTTAACTAAAATGTTGTCCTATTTGCATCCATGTGATATTACGAAAACAACCGGACACAGATAAGAATATCGTCTTCGTCCTACAAGTTGCGGGAGAAGAAAAACATGATCAGGAACAAAAAACAGGATCACGCCCACTTACTGGTCAATTACGAACAGAAATTGGTATGCGTTTTCTCTAATGAAACTCATTAATTAAAAATTAATGAAGATCATATTTCAAAAAAATACAGAAGTTCGATATTTAATGTGTTATTTTCTCTTATTCAACAGGGCAAAAAGCGAATGATGTTGGTCCATTAAACGTGTATGAAAATAACGTACGACAAGTCAATACCGATCTTTTGCAAGCTGGAAATTTTACTGCCTGTCCAACGGTCGACGTCATTGAACAAGCTGCTGCTCACTACAGAATGCAGTTTATGATGAATGAAGATATGTTCAGAGAAATGCGTGTTGTGACTCATTTTTTTCGAGAAACGGATACAAAGTCAACTGAAATTACAGGTAATTGATCAGACTGACCTGCTTCATACTAGTGGTATGGATAGGTCAACTGTAAGATCAGTTGTGTATCAGCTTCGAACCGTTTGCTGTTCCAAGACTGTTTGACTCCTCTGGTAGATTTGCTAATACAATTTTATTCTTTGTCGTTTGGTTTTGCTCATAGTACATTCCTACCCTCAACATCAAATATATCCTAAACGCGTTCACTTAATTCATTTTAAAAGAGATTTTTACTGTGTGTTTAGATTTTGTACAAACGACTGGCGAACAACCATTTACCCTCCATTTTTTTACAGAATCTCAAATTAGTCGTTATATTTCGTTCATTCAGTCACAAAAAGATTCACATAAACATATGGATGCCACTGGTTCCCTTATTCGAAAGTTCACCGGCCATAAGCGTTCTTTATTACATTGTATTGTTTTCAAGGATGGTGACGATCCATCTCAAATTATACCTCTCGCGCCGGCTATTTTATGTGATCACAGCGTACCGTCTATCGCCTATTTTGTTAACGTCGTTAGAAAGATTATTGTTACAATAACGGACAAATTTATTAGTCCATCGTTTATTGTTATTGATTTTTCGCCAGCTATCCTGAATGCACTATTGCAAACATCCAACAACGAAGAAATCAGTCTACATTTAAAACGATGTTGGAATGTTTTGCTAAAGACCTATTCATCGAAGGTACTATTTGCCGTAAC